AAATATATATATATATATATATATATATATATATATATATATATATATATATATATATATATATATATATATATATATATATATATATATATATATATACATATATATATATACATACATAGATATATATATATATATATATACATACATACATATATATATATATACATATATATATATATATATATATATATTGAAAATGGCTAATATCATTTTGGATAATGATTTTTGAAACATGATTTAAAATTATTTTTGCAATTATTGATATTTAATTAATATATTTGGGAAATAAATATTTATAAAGTATGGAAATTTATTTTTCCGTTTTATAAATGTATAAAATAGTTACTGGAAGTTGGAAATTAATTTTCATGATTTTTGCAAATTTATTTCAAATTTAAAATGAATTTTGGAATAAACATTGCACTAGGGGCATTTTCGTAATTCTGTGTTTCCTGGAAATTTATTTTCCAGTTTTGCCCCTTCCCGAAAGTCTCCTGATGTATTTAGGATTACTTGGTAAAATTTCATAATTTTTGGACTAATTTATGAATTTTTATTAATTTTAGAAAATATTACCAACGTAGTATTTTTCTAGAATTATCTGGGGCGAGCGCGGTTCGCCCGGTGTATGTATATCTCTATTGCCTGTGTGGATGTATGATATGCATGGTGGATGATTGTGGCTATAGTTTATTTGATTATAATACGGCTTGCGTGTCGTGCCTTATCTCTTAAACTCTCGTTGTAAATCTATTTCTCTCTCTTACCTCAACCGAGGATTCTTTTCTCACGTGGTGGTTAGAAGATAAAAGATTTGATATCCATTCGAGAGAATCTAAAGGAATGGAGATAGCCCGAAGTCCAAGAGCCTGGAAGTTAGTGGGAGCTATCGTTTTATTTTTCCTTTAGGGGCCACAATCATTACACGTTTATTTACAGCGTATTTTGAATGCATGTGAATGTATGGTTAACGATAGTAAATTGACACGTGCACAGCATGTGTCGTAGGTGAGATCGTAAAATTTAAAATCCCTCGAAATATTAAGTCTGTATTGCCTTCCGGCGCCCGGAGCAGAGCGTAGTACGGTGTATGTTATGCTGGTCACGGGAATCACTAAAGTGGTCATTGTTAGACGTTGGGTTAGACTTAACTGAGTCTCGGTCAAATGGATGGATGACTCAAAGGTGGTTTTTGTTGGGGTCACTATACTCACAAGTCGAATTACTTTACTCACTCATCCAGCCAGAAGTTGGGTCTCTATGACTTAATTGGGCTTTGCCCTAACTAAAGTAGTTGCGCATGTGGTACGTGCCAAAGCCAATCACATGTACGATGAAACGGTGTTCAGGTCCGTTAGTAGTATTGTCGTTCGCCCAACACAAGACCAAGAACTGTGAGCGCGGCTCGACAGTTGGAACTATGTTCCTACCTAAATAGTTAAATTCTAGGTACGAACCTCAGGTCAACTAGAATTTAATGATATATGGATCTTGGCCCATTAAGAGAATCTCTAGGAGAATCTCCGAATCAACATTGAGGGTTGTTGATTTGTTAAAATAATGGGAAATAATTAATTAAAAGGCATAATTAATTATTCAACATGATAGATAACCTAGTTTGCAATTTCATTCTGTAGATGGCATCGAATAACACGTACAGTCATTCCATCAACCTGCGCTATATCCTCGAGAGCCAAAAACTCTCCGGGGAAAACTTTCTTGACTGGGAGAAGAACCTCCGAATCGATCTTAACTGTGAGAGGAAACTCTACATCCTCAAAACGGATCCTCCCAAGACCCCTGCGGCAAATGCTCGTGCGTCGAAACTCACTTCCTTCAAGAAGTATGAGGACGACGCGCGAGATGTTAAGTGTATCATTATGGCAAGTATGACCGCGGAGCTCCAAAGGCTCCACGCGGACATGGAAGCGCGTCCTATGATACAATGCTTGAGAGACCTATTCCAGGGTCACCTAAAAAAACTCGAGTATTTACGTTATTGAAGTCAACATGTCTGATTTCACCAATTGGGTGATGGATACCGGATGTGGTTCTCACATCTGTACTTCTATGCAGAATTTGCATGAAGTTAGAGATTTGGCTGAGGGAGAAGTCCAGCTTAAGGTCGGAAACGGAGCACTTGTCAATGCGTTGGCTGTAGGAACTTATGTTCTATCTCTCCCTAGTGGCTTGTTGTTGCATTTAAACAATTGCTTGTTTGTACCTGCCATTAGCAGGAATATCATTTCTGTGTCCTGTCTTGGCAAAGCCGGATTTTCTATTACTGTCAAAGACAAGTGCCTTTCAGTTTTCAGAAATGATATTTACTATGCAACTGCTAAGATGACCAATGGTCTTTATATCTTAGACTTAGACGCCACTGTTTATAACGTAGATGTTAAGAGAAGCAAACCAAACAGTTTGAATCTCACATACCTTTGGCATTATCGTTTGGGCCACATTAATGAGAAACGCATATTTAAAGTAGCAGCATGGTGCCATGCTATTAAATATTAAATTAAAATAAAATTAATAAATTTTAAATAAGAATATTAATACTGCGTATTAAATAAGAATAATAATGGAAAGTTTAGAATATAATTTCGTGTATTAATATATATTGAAGAATGTAACACGGTTCTATACACGTTTAGCATTTAACACATACCATATCAAAAAATAAAAGCATTTAATACTTACCAATTTTATGGGCNTTTTGTTTTTTAGCAATTGTATATGTTTTATACATATTCTTTTAATAATAGAGAAAATGCATGTTTCCTCCCAATTGTTTTTGAGGGAGTCACGGCCAAGAGAGAAGAGAGGAAGGAGAAGCCATTTTGAGTTTCCAAAATTATTATTTTGGGTGTATAAAATTGATATAATATTTTCTTTAAAATATTATTGATATATTTTCTACTATTTAATATACAAGATTAATATTATCCATTTTAAATCTTTATATTAAATATACTATTATAATCTTTACTAGCATAAAGATTATAGTAGACTCCGGAGATTGTTCGTGTGTCAAAGTTGGAGGCCGGACGCTTGAACGGCTACGTTTGCTCCTTCAACATCTTTTGCTCGACTTCTCGTTCATACCGCTTTACCAGAGAAGGTATAACTTTCTATCTTTAACTATAGTTTTAGTACGTGTTCTTGGGCTAGTAATCACTATTGGGAGTTTAATATTTTGTATTTCCGCTGCCCTCCCAACCGTGGTTTCCTTTCAGACGAGTGGTATGTCTAAACAAATGGTATGTCTAAAGATAACATGGAATAATGTTAGACTTGCCAATTCGCAAATCAGCTAGACAGAACATGGCATAATGTTAGACATACCAATTGGGGACAGACGAACAAACTTGTGAGTGGAGCAAAAAAAGACACTTAAATTAGAATGTGTTTTGAAAAAATGATGTTTAGATATGAGTTCCAAGATTTCCAGCTTAACTACCTGCAATCCTTGAAGAAACCCCATGAGTACATGAATAGATTTCCACCATGTGTCCCACGTATCACTTTTCTACCATTCTGAACAAAATAAGATCATGTTTAAAAAATATAGGCTATTAGTTAGTCTGATGTCGTGGTGCGATTTGAAAGTTAAAACAAATATGATTGTACACACAAATGAATAAATGAACGATATAAGCCAAGAAGCATGTGACTTGATTCCTTCATATGTGAAAATGAAATACTTCAATGTGATAAGGAAAACACACTACACGTTTGTACATTTGTTGTGTTTAACTTTGACAGTATTGACTAATTTTTTATTGAAAATGTCACCCAGAATGTGCCATGTGGAGATGTCCAACCAGATGCTTTTCAATGATTCTTGATTGATAAGTCCTTCCTTTTCAAAGTTGAAGTCAAGACTGAGCGCTTCAATGAATTTGAGCTTACTTACCATGTGGTCGACATTTGTCCTAATCAATGAATCATTTCAAAATACAAGGATCTAAACTCAATTTTCTTCACTACCCAGGTTGGACTTTTTTCTCTTATATATCAAATGCATAATAACTATATATTCAACTGTTAAGTAAACTCTATTTGACATGCTAATTCCTTGACATGTCTTTGGTATAGACTAATGTGACTCTCGGATTTTCAACTGCTGAAAAAACATCAAAGCATTGCATCTCTATTGGTGAAACTTCATCGTGCGCAAAGGTTAAGCTTCACATAATATCTTACTTTTGTTTTAGGTATAGTAAATGACAAGCTTCAGAAACGTGACGTTAATTGTCGGACACTTTAATTGTCTTGCAGAATTTGATAAATGAATTCGTGGAATCTTGTAACACCCTAATCCGTCCAGGTCTGCAGCCCCTTTCGGACTAAAGTATTAACTTGGTAATCGTAAAACTTAAAACTTTTCAAACACTTTTATTTATCATAATAATATTTTTCATATCATAAACAGTACAGAGTTTTCAATATTGCGGAAGCTTAACAAATCATAACCACAAACATAATTTATTTATATTCTTTAATTCAAAACCATCACATCCATTCCGACTATCTCGCCTCCTTCTGCCTCCAAGATCACGTCACATCATTCTATTGACCTGCGTGTAGCAAATAAAACACACTACACGCTCAGCGGTAAAGCTGAGTAAGCATATCTAATGCGTCGAACATCCACATAAATTGAACCTCAATTCATAATCAACCATTTGATATCATCCACATAATGTTCAGTTCAGATATTCAATAATCAATATTCAATTTTCAGCATTCATTATTCAATCATCCAACATGTATATTCATCATTTGTCATTCAACAGTATCCTTTAACTATTTTTAGTCTAAGGCCAATCAATTTAATATTTGTCAACCCTTAAATGAATTCTTGTTTAACTAATTAAACTATATTCCAGTATACAGAGTACTCCTAATAATCCTTAAGCTAGGCCTAGTTTAAGATAAAAGGGTTTTGGAAATCTTAAACTTACCTTCACTTAAGGCCAACCAAAAACCGACAGCGTAGTGTTCACTATTGGGTGGGTGGTACCCCCAAACGAGTAGGTACTCAAGTTTGGTTCTTGGATCCCGTACGTACGTTTTAACCCTAGCCACCGGGCATCATACCCGCAAGGCCTAACTTATATAGGTATATCTTAGAGTTCTTCTAGATACCTTTCAAATCAACATTAATATGCGTATATCTTAGAGGTCTTCTAGATACCCTTAACAATACATATTATTTTCACAATCATCAATATATTCATTATGATTTAATCGTTCATAATTTCCATTTTTAATCAGAACAATTATCAAGATTTAATCATCATAATCATCAACCAATAATTATTACCATAATCATCAATCAACATAATATTCAACAACAATTAGCGGCCTAGCTTCGAGTGTTAACACCCGAACTTACCGTCATGCATCACATATCATTTATATTTGTTAAAAACATCATTTTTATTGTGGTAAATCATTTTTATAATGATCATAATCAATTGGTATCAAAAATAGGATTTTAGAACTCAATAATAGCATTTTCAGACAAATTTTCGGATCAGAACTTCGGGGGATCGATCCAGCTCTCTGGATCGATCCAGCTCTCTGGATCGATCCATGATGTGAAAATTAACTCCCAGAGGATCGATCCAAGCCTTAGGATCGATCCAGACAGTGTGTTTCAGGTACTGTTCAATCGTCTTCAACCTTCGGTCCATTTTTCGGAATTACCACTTTTAGTTATCGAACTTCAACGAAACTATATAGAGATGTTCCCTAAGGTTCATAGATCATTTTGGCATTATTAATTCATAGTTTTAACATCAATTTCATGGTTTATGATTCTTGGTTCTTCAAACATGTCAAACACAAAACTCAATCAAATGACCGTTTATGAACGTAGAAACGACCTATATGAGCATTCTAGTCATTAGATATATCAACGGGCTTACCTCGAAGCTTAATGAAGGTTTTGAATATTTTCCGGCGAAACTTCCGGCGATGATTACTCCCGATTCCGGCGACCTTTCACCAATATGATAGCACCACTGCGTTCTCCTCACTCCCAGCAACAGAATTGATATGAGAATTGTGAGAAATGATGAAAAATTGAGGGAGTGAAGGTGGTCTTGTATAGGGAAGGAATGGAGGAAGAAACCGAACAATGCTGCGTAGGAATTGTGTAGGAACGTATATTTTATCGGCTGAGTGGAGTAGGAGGCGCCGTCCCTGATTGGGACTAATTTTGGTTCCAGTCGGGATACACTTTTTGGTCCAACTTTCTCCGAATTGAATTTCGTTTGCACCGTTGCGATCGTGCAATTAAACTCTATCCAATGATATAACTTTTATATTTATTCGTTATACTTTTTCCGACATCATATTTTTGGTGTTTGACTTTGACAGAGTCAAAATTGGTTTAATTGACCTTTATTCAAAAAGGTTCTCACATTTAATTCATATTATTTATTTCCATGATTTATTTCAATAAATCATTTCAAAGTTCACATTACAAACAATTTCTTCATTTATTCTTAATTTGGATCTGTACTCAGGTTCCCAATCAAGATCACACAATAAGTCAACAGGTTGGATTTATCTCTATGAGATTTAACCCAATTATGTTTATTGGACATCAATATATATATTTTATTTCGGCCCAAAGCCCAACAATAATTTATTTTAATCAAAACAAATTTTGTTTAATTGAATATTTAATTCAATAAATTTTAGGGTATATTTTGGGGCGTTACAAATCTGATGACAATCAAATGACAACGCTTGGTGATAATATGTCGACTTTTACACCAGTCAAGAGAATGCAACACAGGGAGTCTAAGGATGAAGCTGGTGATGAATCAATAAAGAGGTTGAAGAGTGTTACGTAGTAAAATAGAAAATATATAATATTAGGCTCACGTTTGGTCTTTAGTTTCCTTTCTTTTTATTCTATTCAAGTGTTAGACGATTTATTATTTTAATTTAAGTGAGGATGATGCAACTTTTCTTGCATTATACTTTCATTATTAATTTTTATTTAACTCCGGTATTAGACTGCTTATTGCTACCATTTCATTATTTAAGAACTCATATCGTTTGTTCCGTTTAATAAAACCAAGTGACTTGATTTTTTTTGGATGAAGCGTGATGGATTTTCCTCAGTTTGATGAATTTACCAGGAAGCCTTGCATTTGTATGGAAGCACCTGCATTTATGTTGATTAATTTTAATAACTCAAACTATGTAGATTACTTTTATTCATGTAGATTACTTTTATTAATTCAATTAATATTGTTCTACTCCGTCCATGAAAGAAATATGTTCTCATTTGGCTTTAAACGGTCTTAAATTAAAAAGAAAACCCCCTAAATAGGAGTAAAACATTAAACTTAACCCTAATGTAAGTAGGGATGGGTCGGAAAAACCGAAAACCGAAAACCGAACCGAAATCGATCGAAACGAGCTAGAAAAAAAACCGAATCGAAAAAACCGAAACCGAATGTAAAAAAACCGAACCGAACCGTTATTGTTTGGTTCCGTTTTGGTTTTTACTTTGAAAAATCGAGCCGAACCGAATAAACCGAACTTATTTATATGCTTCTTTTTTATGTATATGAGTATATGTGATATGTATAAAAATCATATAAACAAATATGCAAATATATTATTAGTTGATTAAAGTTTTTTAATTAACTATTAATTAAACATTTTAACCATGTTATAAACTTTAAAAAGTCTAAGAGATATAAATACCAATAACTAATCCTAATATAGAATTATACTGCGTATAACATTAAAAATTAATATGAGTAGTTAACATATTTACATAAAAAAA